AATTTTCATGAACAAAAAGAAAAATGAACATTACCGCCAACACAAGACATTGTTACACCGATTGGTATAATATATAAAAGTGGTGGAAATACACGTTCAGCAAAACTAACAGCTGTAGCCTCTGACATGAGAATATCATATGTTGATAAAGCCGTAAAATAAGAACTGAATGTTAAAAAATAAATAAGAATACATATTAAAAGTGATATAACAATAGAACGTGGTAAAAGACGTTTTGGATCTTTAAGATCATCAATTGCATTATTTAAATAATTCCTTCGTTAAACAAAATAAATATATAGATAAAAGAAAAAAAAAATTTCGATTTATTTAATTCTTTTACCATCCAGCATAAGGAAATAAACCAGCATAAAATGCACTTGGAAGGTTAGCATATGTTGAATTTTCAAATGGTTCAGCAAAATTTTCTTTTCGACCAATAATCATTCGATAAAGACCAGCACCGATAACAATTAATAATGAAGCTAAAAATATCAAAGAAAAAAACCGAACAATTTCCGATATGAAAATTAAATTAATATTTTATTTTACCAATTTTAAAATAATTACAAACTTGATGAAGTCGATTTGTCCATACAGCGGATGATAAATTAATAAAACCAACAATAAGTAAAAGAAATGATGATAAACATTTAACCAATATATCTGGTGGTGTACATGTTGGATAAAACCAATAAACAAGATAATTTGCTGCTGTTAATACACTTAATACAACAATCATTGGTCGTGATAAAACAACTTCAATCCAAACACGAAGAAAACCTGGAAAATTACCAAATGCTACTCGAAGATATGTATAATCACCACCTGATGATACATATGAACAACCAAGTTCAGCATAACATAAAGCTCCCTGAATATAAAATATTTTTTAGTCTAAATTTTAAGATTATCTTTTGTTTTACATTCTTACCATAATACAAAGTATACCACAACCAATCCATACAATAATCGATAAACCATAAGAACCAGAAAATTCTAGTACAGCTTTAGCACTTATAAATATACCTGATCCAATGATACAAGCTAAAAGAAGATTAATAGCATCGAATAAACCCATTGTCGGTTGACGTTTAGTTCCTTGTGATAGAGTTGGTACATTCGATCCATGATCATTACCCGACGGTGCCATCTAAAACAAAACGATATATATATCTATAAATAATATTCAATACATTTTGTTTTTTTTTCTTATTTTTCTGTACAATTACTAGAACATATAATTCCATAAGTAACTAATAACAAAAAAAAAACATTTCTAATAGATTTAATATAAATTTTATCGATAGCAATGAGAAAGCTTATTTAAAAAAAAACAGAAGCAAATGGAGATTGATTGGATGTATGGAATCGAACGGTACTCTCTCATTCAATGTTTTTTCTTTTTTTTTTCTTTCTTTCTTTGTCTTACTAACACTCTATCGGTCACATATATATATATAAAAGAAACCAACTGAGTACAGCAACAAAAAAAAAGAAAAGAACGTACTGCTACAGAAGAAGTCTGTTACAGAAGAAGACATCATCTTCAGTAATAGCTAGAAGAAAAAAAAAGAAGAGAAGCAACAAATGAAGAAATAGGTCAATCATAATACCATTTCTTTCAACGTTTCTTACTTATTCTATATATATTATTAACGTAGAAGTGTTGCTTCTGTCTTATTAGACTAGTATCATACGGTGTTATAAAGTTTATCATCAATATATGCAATTTGGAATATCTTTCGACAATGTTAATCAATCAAATTTTTTGTATGCCGATCAATTTATGCATGAGTAAAAGGAAAGCGGAATAAAATCACATGTAAATATAAATCAAAGCTTAAAGTCATGCATATAAATGTGAGGCCTATCGTTACAAATATTGACAAAATATACTCAAGGCTCGATTGTCAAAGCAAATAAACTCTTACTATTGCTCTTGAATGTGAAGGAAATGAAAGATTGTTGTTGTTTTTTTTCTGTCACACTTGAATCTTTCTTTTCATTACAAAATGAAAAAGAGCAATGATGTGAGACATAAAATATAGATTCTCGAATTATATCAATCAATAATATCTCAATAATATTTGAAGTATAAAATTTTATTACGAATAATAATAAGATGATGATACGATTACAAAACTAATATTTCAATCAGTATTGTATAACTGACTGGATTATGATGGCATGTGTTGTAGATCATATTGATCATGAAATTCTATTAATTGTATATAGTTATATACGATTATTAGTCTTCTTGCAATCAATAAGCACTAGAAGATAATATTGCACTATATTTCAAAAAATGTTGACAAGTTAGAAAATTAATATAAAATATTGAGACATATGTGAAATATATAAGTACATTGAGTAAATAATATTTTTTCAATATTAACAAGAGATAAATTTTGTTTCTTTTTTTTTGTGCTTTTTGATCAATAAAAATCAATTAATTTATTGAAAGAATAAATGAAATAAATTGAAGAATTTAAAATCTTATTAATTGTTCTTGTATGTATTCTATTTGTTATTTTTGGAGAAAAAAAAGTTTAATAATTATTATAAATACTGATCAAATGTATTATAAAAGAATTGTAATAATGACTGGAAAACTCATTACACAAACAGAACTTTATTAACATATACAAATAGATCAATTGGTTGTTGATAAAAATGACAGAAACAAGATATTTTATTTGGTTTTTCAATTATTCATCGCTTATAGCCTCTTAAAATTGATAGAAGACAAACAAATAAGTATAATAATTACAACTGAGAGAATTTATTCAGTATAAAACCATTAAGCAAGGATACGTAATAAAAATAAATGATCAAGTGAGCTATGTTCAAGAAAGAAAATTTGTTGTTAGTATGATGACAACACTATGAACGTTTTTGTACAGTTCGAACAGTGTAAAATGCTATATTAAATAATATTCGTGATGAAGAATGTACTCGTCCTCAATGACAGAGATCCAATGAGACAATCTAGTATTTATCTTTTTTTTTTTATACGTCAAGAGAGAATTTTGCTGTTAGATAGTACAATTTTATTTTTCTTATAAATCTTAAAATAAGGTAAAGTTAACAACATCAGACTCTTTATTTATGATGGTAGTAATTAAGAAAATTGATCATATTTATGTTAAATTTATTTAATATAAGAGAATAAAAATCAAATATACACAGATTGGTCCAAAAGTCACTCCGACAGACTTCATTTTGCGAATAACTTTTGATACGAACACGATAGAGAGCTGTGTCAGTGCATGTTTTCATGTATGTGGGGAAAATGTCGATCGATAATCAAATTATCAGTTAGTGAACTTCAGAACAATACTAACAACTCTATATAGATGACAAAAAAGTTTACTTCTAAGAAACGTATTAGATTCGTATGCTCACAATTCATATCGAAATTCAGAAATTTTATCCTGATTGGTTTAAGAGTTATAGGCGTAACACTAGATGATGAGGATGTAGGTCATAGATACATGAAATATTCGATTATCAATCAACATGTTGAATCATATATGCAATCAAGTAGTGACACAACTTTCTATCTTGTTTCTATGGAAAGTTATTCACAATCAAAAAACTGCCGGTTGATTCTTGAATCATACTGTATATGATGTTATTTTTGTTGATTTTTCCATGCTGTATGAAGTAGAATTATATTACGACGTGGTTTAGCCAGTTCACGAACTCGATCTGTTGCTTGAGCAGATAGTGCTTGTTCGGATACTGTTTTTGGAAGTGTATAAGCATCTTTATAACTGCTTGGTGGTTTTTTTGGTTGAGAAAGTTTAACTAAACGATCTGAATGTCGAGCTGTTAATGCTGCTGATTTAACACCACTATAGGCATAATTTGTTATATTATCAAAAAATTCTATATATAAATAACATATTTAGAAACATTTTTCGTTTTTTTCCTTATATTTTTCATTAAATTACCTTGTCGAATAAGTCGTTCACGTTTTATTTTTGGTCTTGATAAATCTTCAAGCCGTGCTGAACAAGATTTAGCACGTAATGTAGTAAATGGAATACCAGAAAAACGTGAACATGGACGACGTGACCATGGATGAACCGAATACATATCATTATAATAACTATTTCTTGAAAAAACCGAATGATGTGTATCCATAAAATCGAAATGTCGTCCTGAATAACTACTCATACGTGATGTTTGAGTTGAATGTCCGTGACTTTGTAATCGTTCGTCGCTGTAATAAAATGAAAGATTAATATAAAGCATACTATTTTTATTGATTACCTCATTTTTTGTTTAATTATAAAATATATAAATTTTATAAAATATTTCTTGATTATTTTCGAATTGCTTACAAACACTCGCTCAACAACACAAATAACATGTGAAAAAAAGAAATAACAACCATTTAAATATAAAACAATATTTTTCTTTATGTTCGTTTTTTTTTTGTTCTTTACTAATTCCATTTATGCAATGTGACATTTGCAATTGGTGATCATCTCTAGGCTATCAGACGGAAATTCTTGTTTGGAGTATGTCGTTTCCGGTATTCATTGATGTTTGAACTCTATCATCAGAATTTTCTCTTGAGAATTATTTTTCATTACCAGCATATTTATGTTTTTCAATTTTCAACAAGTAAAAGTCTGTAAAGAAACAATTGCATTGTATATGAAAAAAAAAGAAAATATGACAAGTTAGACTAGTTATATTTTTTCATCCTGACTAAACTGATTATATTTCGTCATTCCATCCATCTATCTATTTATTAATTCGTCTCGTTCTCTAGTATATTTTTTTCTATCTTTAGTTTGGATCGGCATGCAATGCAAGTGCGAACAGATGAATAGAAAGTCTAATCTAATTTATTCTTATCGATCTAAGAAAAGAAAAGAAGAAAAAAAAAGAAAATCTCTTCCATTTGTTCATATTTTGACTTTTGATTATTATCAGACAGAAAAAAAAACATGTTTCTTAACTATCTTCTACTTTTTTTTCCAATGACATTTTTTACATATTCTCAAACGCCTATTAATATTGCAATTATTGATGACAATCATTATCCCACAGGATTTCTCAATATCGTCATACCAAACGTAACATTTTGTAATTATTATGGTTTAATATTACGAACTCAATGGATTAATTCACCATATTCATTAACTGATCTTATCGATCAACTTGAATCACAAGTAAATCAAACAAATATTTATTTATCACGTACAAGTAAATTTTCAACAAAATTAGTTCAAGATTTTTGTCAAACATATCGTATACCATTTGTTAGTATGCATTCATTTGGAAGTATAACAACAACGTTTGTATTCTAAATTTATTTATTAATTAAATTTTTCTTTTGTTTTCTTATAATTTTCTTTTCAGATCATTTAATTATGAATATTCTGTTATGCCTCATATTCTTCGTGTATTAATAAGTTATTTAAAATATCATCATGTACAAAATGCTGCATATATTTATGATAATAATGAAGCAACACATCATATATATGAATTAATTCAATTAATGAATAATGATGAATATTTTAATGATTTTTCATTAAATATAAGAACAGCACGTTATCAAGATGTTTATTCATTATTATATAGTATTGAAATTCATTCGATTAATAAAGAACGACGAGCAAAATATATTTTACTTGATTTTGAATCATCTTTAGATTATGAAAGAATGTTTAATAAAATTTCACATATGGGTTCGTATAAAATACTTATGTTTTTTTTTCTACTAGTAAACACAATAAATTCACAGTATAATTTAGTTGTATGTAAAACTTAAAAACTATAAACCTTTAATATATTTTTGTTTTGCTCGAAGATTCAGAAATTGTTGTATCTCTATTATTTCCAAAACTTTTTATCTTTGAAATGTTATTTTGTGTCTTAATATTTATTTTGACATGAGATATAGACAACAAAGACTGATCCTTCTTCGAATTTAATTGAAAATCGATCATATTTGTAGCAAAGGATAAGCTCATCAGTAGGCATAAAAATCGACATTATAAATCGTAAAAATTCTCGTTGGGTCAGATGTATTCAAATGTCAATCTGAAATTCTCTGTGACTCTTCATATGATATATTTAATTTTCTTTTATTTTGGAACAGTTTAATACTTTGAAAAAACTCACAAAAAATTGATCATTGGTTTAGCGAAGCACATTTTTTATAGAATAATGAAAAAGCTTAAGTCAAGAAACGGGCACCGAAGTTTCACATGCTCTTTCAAGCACAAAAAAAAGCATTAGGCTACAATAAAGTTCCAACAAAGAATCTAGGTTGCGCGATCAGAAAAATATAAGTGAAAAAAAAGGCAGAGAAAAAAAATTTACAATTTGTCTTTTTCTGAAAAGAAAACATCTTTGTTACAAAACTTGAGTGCAAGTTATCCTTCTATGCGTTTATTTTAATATTAATGATTCTGTGAAAGTGAACTTTTTTGTGTCATATGTATTTTCGAGCCTATCACATGTCTAAAAGATTATCAACTCTTATTAATTTAAGATTTATTAAATATAATAAATGAACTTCTTTTTTCACATGTTCTAATGATACTAAGACTAAAATCGTAGCAAGTTGTTTGAATCAGTTATTTTTAAGTATTGATAAACAGAAGATTTTTACTCAGATTAATAGTATAATCATTTGCACACATTGGAAGATGCTCCTTGAAGAAATGAAGCAAAAGACACCTTAAAAGATCCTCCTAAAAGTTCAAATTTTTTAAACAATGTCTGTAATTTATTGATTTTTTTAGCATTTATGTGCATAATAATATCTAAGTTTAGTAGGGACAATATTTTACTTTCGTCGTCATAATGACATGTCAGTTACGAACAGATGATAGGAAAAGACAGCCTATCAGAACGGGGATTTCTCTATTGAAAACATATTTTGGAGTCACTTAAGTAATCTTCTACGGCATATTCTGAAAAAATTTTCTAGCTTCTTTATATATTGTATATTGGCATGTGTTAAACATAAAGAGATGTTTTCAAAATAAGAATATATTCGGTAAAATCTCATTATGTATTACTTAAAAGGTTTTTCATTTATTTACTTTCTTCTGGAAAATCAGCAATATTTTCATTAAATAAGTCAACGAATTCATAATGAAAGAAACATGTCAAGATTTGTTTTATGAATTATTCTTTCTAAGTATGAGTACACATTTGTTTTAGCAAAAAGATCTATAGACATTTTTTGAAGCAGACGTAAACAAGAACATATAATGTGTATTCAATAGCTGTTTTTAACCAGATCACTATGTGCATTGAACAGTGTAGGGACGAAAAAATATGATCTTTCGCCACAGAGATTGTGCTAATTGCTTGTTTTTTTAGGTCTTACAAGTGATTTATACTATTATGTAATGCTCTCAACTTTTGATACTTGTTTATGGATGAAAACTATGAATTTTACTGGTCGTTTAATTTATTTTGATTATCAAGAACGTGATTGTACATTTGATTATCAACAATCTTCTAACTTAAACGAAAAATCTTCATTATCATCAAAATCTAAACATCATTCATCATATTATCGATCAACACTATCATTACGTAGTGATCATGATCTTTATAACTTATCAAATTCTACTCAATTAATCACAAATAATTCATCATTATCATCAAATGTATCGAATGATACAGATATAAAACTCAATTCATGTAATAATAAAATTAATAGAAATCATGAATATTTTTCATATTCATATTTTCTATCACAATTACCTAAAACTTATCAATTATATTCGCGTTCATTATTTAATTCATTAAATTTAATTATAAACATTCTTAAGACAAACATAATTGACTGTAAAACTTTACGTATAAATGGAATAGAAAAGAAATCAATGAATTTAAATATAACTGATGTTAATATATATTCAATAAAAAAATCAAGTTCTAATTTATTGAAAGGACAAATTGAACTTATTGGTAAATATTCAAGTATTCATGATGAATATCAATCATGTCATACAAATAAACGTAAAGATTTAACACGCATTCAAATAGGATCATCATCATCAAAAATTTATTATATAACAAGTTTATTTGATGAACCATTTCTTATGTTACGTAATCGAACAACATATCCTACAAATTATAATGAACCAGATATTGATTTAAAAAAATTACGTGGTCATGTATTTGATTTTCATGAATTAGACGGATTTTGTTTGAATTTAGCTGAAAAAGTTTGTTCAATTTTAAATATTACATGTAAATTTCGTATTGTTCAAGATGGTGGTTTTGGAAGTAAAAATCCTACAACAGGCACTTGGGATGGTGAGAAATATAGAAAAATCTTTGTATAGATCATTAATTTTAACTTAATTCTTTTCTTTTATTTGTTAAGGAATGGTTGGTGAAGTTGTATCTCGAGTAGCTGATATGGCTATTGCTCCATTAACTATTAGTCAAAAACGAATGGAAGTTGTCGAATTTAGTAAACCTTTTATGAATCTTGGCATTTCTATCATGGTATGATTTATTGTATAATTGATGAATTTTCATACGAATATTTAACTATGGATGTCACACAAATTTTTAAATGTTTTTGGAGCACCCATATTATTTTAAACAGTTTTTGGAAAAATGAACTTATAAGATGAAGATTTCTTCTGTTGATACTATAATTTTTGAGAGTTTTCAAATTCTATTTTTCGAAGGAAAATAGTGAATGAAAGGACAGGGATGTGTAGTTTCAGATTATTGAATTTTTATAGAGTTGGTGTTTCAATATTGTAGCAAAGGCGAATATTAGTGTAGTCAGTTCTTGAATGATTCTTGCGAATTGATCGATTTATTTTTTTTCTATAGATTCGAAAACCTGATGCAGAAAAAGCGGGTGTATTTTCATTTATGAATCCTGTTTCAATGGAAATTTGGTTATGTTTTTCATTAGCTTATTTTGCTGTGAGTGTTGTCTTATTTCTTACATCACGTGTTGTTAATTCTGGTTGGCGTCGACGTGTTGTTCGACGACCATCTTATCGTTCATATTCATATCCAAAAAGTCTTAATGATAGACGTAAAAGTCAAATACAACTACAACGTCAAAAACAAAATTCAAATGAATCACTACATTCATCTGAAATACCTGTCACACTAGCACCACCATCACCGAGCTTACCAACTCGACGTCGACATCATTATCAAACACCAAATAATATCCCTATTCTATTAAATGATAAAATAAAAACAAAAAACCAAAAAGATGAAGATTTAAAAAAAAATGATGTTCATTTATTTGGTATTTCAAATGCATTATTTTTTTCATTTGCTTCATTTATGAGACAATCAATTAATCTCGTACCGAAATCATTATCAGGTCGTGTTGCTGCAACATCATGGTGGTATTTTTCATTAATTTTTATTTCATCTTATACAGCTAATCTTGTCGCTTTTCTAACTGTGGAAAAATTAATTCCACCTATTGATAGTGTAGAAGCTCTCGGTAAGCAAAATAAATCATGTAACTGTTTGATTGTTTATATTACTATGTATCCAAGATTATAGATATATACAGTACATATGTATTGCACTACTGAGCAAGAAAAATAATAAATTTTATAAAGTTTTGTTATCTTAAATTTATTTAGCTAAACAAGAAGATATTAAGTATGGATCAGTAAGAAATGGAACAACAGCAGCTTTTTTCGAAAAATCAAATGTGTCTGTTTTTCAACATATGTGGGTAGTTATGCAAAGAAGTTCATCTGAAGTATTGGTTGGAACAAATGATGAAGGTGTTGCTAAAGTTCGAAATTCGAAAGGAAAATATGCATTTTTTATTGAGTAAATTTTTGTTAGACTTGCGGAAAATTATTATAATAGATAATTGAAAAATTTCAGATCAACAAAAAATGAATATGTTAATGAACGATGGCCATGTGATACAATGAAAGTTGGTTCAGATTTAGATGCTAAAGGTTATGGAATTGCGACCAGGTTAGGTTCAGATTTAAGTGAAGCAATTAATATCATTGTAACAAATCTTCGAGAATCAGGTTTTATGGATAAACTAAAACAGCGTTGGTGGTATGTTTGAATTTTTATATTAGTATAATTAGAGCATTTTTTTTTTGTTTTGCAATTTGAAAGGTTTGAACGTTCAGAATGTTCACAATCGACCAAAGATAAACGTTTTAGTAAATTAAGCCTGTCTAGTGTAACCGGTCTTTTTTATATATTTCTATTTGGTATTATTCTATCGTGTGTTATTGCTTTTACGGAATTTCTTATCACAGCTAAAGCCGAATCAGAACAATTACAAATTGATTTTCGAGAAATTCTTCGTATTAAAATGATCGAGTATGTTATTCTATTAATTTTCCGTAGAAATTTTTCTCTATTGGAAAAAAATTTATCCTAGGAATCTTGTTGGTGTTACAATTAATGCTCAACGACAATTGGAATTTGGTCGTATTGACCATGAATGTAATTATTATTATCAAAATGAAGAAGATGAAATTATTGAACATTATACACAATATCAACTGCATAAACAACATAGTGATGTTTAATGAGTTAAAAAGAACATCTTGTTGTATAGATAGATGATAATGAATATTTCTGTTGCATATATCATATTTGCTATATTGTATTATGTATTAAAAGAATAAATATTTTTCTTTGTGTTTAATACATGAAGTTTTTTATTTAAAACCTCTCAAGTTTGAAATATAGGTTTCATTTTCAAAAGCGTAAGCATTAGAAATAAAACATATTGTCAATTATCTTCTGGGCATGGTGTTGGACATTTATCACGATGAATGCAAGGACTACCAGTATTATTATCCTGTCGAACATAATCTGAGCAAGCACAGCAACATCCAGTAACATATTGTAGTGTACAAATTTGAGGTCTTTGTTTACACGTTTCAACACAAGCTGAACCACAAGTTTGATATTTTTCGTTTTTACGACAGCATTGATCAGGTGCAACACATTGACCATTATCTGCTCGATAATATCCTTGCTTGCAGAAACATCCTGAACGACATAATAAAATGCAAAATTTAAGTGGTTTTGGTAATGGATAATGTAAATAGCCACAAGTAGAAGCACAAGCTGAACCACATGTTTTATATTCTTCATTAACACCACATACATACTGGTACATCACTTCAACTTTTGCATTCTTCATGTTTGATACAAGGACTCACAGTAGCATTTGATTGACGTACATATCCGGTTAACCTGAATTTGGTCGAAAAATAAAAATGTCGAAAGGAAAAATGTCGAAAACAAAAATGTCGAAACAGAAATAAGAATGGAAGGCGAGGGCATAAGAGTGAGAGTGAGGGCGAGGGAGATCTCCACTTCCATTTACTTTCATTTTCTACATTTCTACCTTGCGACATATGTGTTATTATGGTTTTCGACATTTTCTATTTTCGACATTTTTCCTTTCGACATTTTGACTTTCGGCATTATTCAGGTGAATCACATATCCATCCATGCAACAACATCCGACTTTGATCATTGCAGGACAAATTTTCGGTTTGAATGTACATGTTTCAATACATATTGAACCAGACATGTATTTTTCGTTTAGACCACATTTGACTAATGTCGTCAGTGAATCTATGAAAAATAATAATCCATTATCAAAGACAGAATATATTTGAATATCCTTTACTTATTGATTGATCAAAACTGGCGATAGGTAATAATAATGTCATAACAATATGTAAAATCGACATCATCGTTAGTGTTTGATTCACTTGAAGTTTGAAACGAATAAATTCTATTCTAATGTTTTACTATATATATATGTGTACATATTCTTTTCATAGACATCCAATGAATAGTATATATAAAACACATTAAGAAGATGTAAATTACATTGGTTAGATGTCATGAACAAAGATCTAACACAGATCTATGAATAACTCATTGTGCGACAATAAAAGGTACCGAAATAACAAAAATAGATTTGATGGAGTACAGGTACCTGGTATGTAGACATCTAATAGGTCATCTAAAAGACCTAATATATTTTGAAAACATCATATGATTTATTTGGTTCATTGTACATTTTTTGTAACTGCAAGTGAGTTTTACCTACAAGTAAGACAATAACATTGAATAGATCAAAAGAAGTGCAAAACTCGTAAATATACTAACAGAGCACAGAGTGTGATTTGAGTAGAGAATTTTATTTTCAACATTCCAAACAAAATAACAGAAAAATAAAGTTAATAATAAGCCTAGTTAAACAATTTAGGGAGCCATTGTATATCATTAAACTTCTAGCGAAATATAATATTAATTAATCGTGAATCATTTCATGAATTTCTAGTATGTTTCAAATGAAAATAAGTTTATAGCTATCTATATCAATTCAAACTTGGCTTATCAAACGAAAAATAATTTGCTAAAAACGAAGATTTATTTTTTTTTACAAAGCTTGACTAAAGGTATACAGAGATGAGAAATTCGAATCTGTAAATAGTTTCTGAGACTCAAAAGTAGGAAAAACCGATTACAGATTCGGATTCTTCGGTCTCGATTAACTGTGGTCAAACTTTATTAAAAAACTATGATGTCTCTTCCCTATTTTCGATAGAAAAACCGCTCATGTTCATATGAGCACTCATGATCATCAGCTGTGCATATTGAACCGATGTGGTGGTATGTATCGGCCACCTGTAATTGAATGCTGGTCACATATACAGCTTATAATCGCTTATCAGCAATATTTGTCACGGTCTGTGATCATCGTTTGCAGGCCGTTTGTAAGTGATATTTTACGATATGTTCCAAATTTGATTAGTTGACTTCTTTTTATGAGAATATTCTAAAAGAAATATCCGTAAAATGGCACTGGACAATGAAGAAAATCAGAATACGGTAAAATTTGAAATGATTAAAAAATAAACTGAGAAGAAAAACAACTGATTGAATGAGTTGTAGACAAGATGAAATTTGATTAGCATATATTTTCGAAAAAACGGCACCGGAGACTATTAGAACCATATCCAAGCATTTGGAGCTATTTGAATAGTTGTGAATGAGTTTCTTCTCTTTGTGCTTCGCTTTGCTGCGGAGAATATTTCGATAACTTTGCTCCATAACTTAACATGTTGGTATATTTATTCATTCTTTGAAAACCTCAATGCAACATACTTTAATAATTTCTTTCATTTGTGAAGAAAGTCTGAGATGAAAGATAAAGATAGTGAAAAAACGTTTTCTATGCAAGTTATCTGAAAATCATCAGTATGAATGGTAGTAAGTGGAGAGGCAAAGAATCACAAACTAATGACGTATATATAACTCAAATACAATAGACATACTCGCATGTAAACACAGAACGCAGATGAGCGCAGTTTTTTTCTTTTCTCTATCATTAATAGCAACAGAAAAGAGCATAAAGTACAAATATAAGCTGTTGTAATCGTCGTTTCATTCATTATACGGTCGATAGCGTAGTTAAAAAAGTAGAAAGAACATGGCTGTACACGTATTTCTTATTTTGAATTATGTATTATGTGTATCTAGTTCGCAAATATCATCAACGTTGATTGGATATCATTCAATAATCCTTTACTTCTACTAACCGATTTGATGATCATGGACACACTTTACTATTCAGCTACTTTTTCATTAAATTTTTCGGAAAATATAAAATTTTTTCTACCAATTCTGATACTAATAAAATCGTACTTAGTACTATATCAGCCTCGTACTATTATTAGTATTCGTTTATTATTAAGTCTTAAATTGTCTTCATTTTAGATAATAACATTCAATAGAAATTTTATATTTCATCGACATGTCAACAGAAAACCGTGTTACTCTTTTGTTGATGAATGATTTAAACTGTTTCCAACCTTTGAGTCAATCAGATTCGATTGGACAATTATTCCATTCATTACTTCATAGTAGAACCACTATTGATCAGTGGGTAAAACAGACGGCTTCCATTGTAATACCGCCATCATTCAATGAGTTAAAAGCAATAATTAAAGACCAGTTTCATCTGGATGAAAACGCAATTATTATTGCTCGATTCTGTAGAGATGGAATTGAATTACGAGATGAAACATATTGTTTATTGAATAAAGAAGAGTGCCCACTATCCGATGTAATCAATGTTTACAGTATGAAAAATCTAATAAATGATGATGAACAAGATCAAAATTCTTATCGTTATCGTAGCGCTGAACTAAGAATTGTCACATTAGACAGACAGGTTTACTATATTAAAGTATGCTGGATTTGGTCATTTCTTGAACTTAAACTCTCATTGAAACAAGAATGGCCATTATTATCAGACACTAGTGTGAATGATATTCATCTTCTATATGCTGGTTCTGAAAAGAAAAATGATCGAATGTTGTGTAGAGTTGGACTTGGAGCAGGAAGTACATTATATTGTATTGTGCGAAAACGATGAAGAACTTCTTTCTTTTAGATAGATTATCAAATAATAAAATTTGTTTGATTGTTTCAAACGAAGAAGAAATGAATCAAAACGTTGTTAGTTAGACTCTACCTTCAAAGAATTATTCTCGATTTGTCTTTCAATTTTCATAGGGTTCAAAGTTCACTTTTCGTTTTATTATAGAAAACTCGTTGACTTAAAAGTCGATTTTCGGTTCATCTTTAGAGGTCATTGAAATTAAGAATATTATATAATGCATAGAATTGTAATTGTTTGTAAGGCACTTACTGAATGAGTACGAGCAGTTTACAAATTATTATTTTAAGTTAAAAATCATATTTATTTAGTCAGTAGATTTGATTACTTGGTGTATTTTGCAATACAATTCAGTATTTATTTTTATTATGTATGAAAGCGAGAATATAATAATGATTGTGAAAGATGTAAAGAAAAAAGAACGTCACATAATCAATGATTCATTGTTGTGCAATGTAATATTATAATTTCATCTTTCATTTGGAATTTTTGATGTTTGTATGTTTCTTTTAAATATGAAATCAAATCAATCATTTGTTCTTCATTAATTTTCTCATATGAAAATATTGACCATATTCTCTTCTGTGTAAGATTAATCCAATCGTCAAATGTTACACTATCATCGAATGTAAAATGATATGTATCATACTTAATATTTGTGAATCCACACATTTCTAATTCGTGTACGTAATTATCAATAGGAAGGGCTACTCATTTATGTATCTCATGTGTACGCTTATCTAATGAAAAAATTTCTTTTGGTGCACGTGTAACAATAACTAATTTGTTATCATCAGAATTCAACTGTTGACGAAAGCCTTTGAAAGCTAATAATCGTTCACTATGTGATAATAGATGAACACAGTGTTTCAATAAAAGACGATTATACGCTGGCAATTGTTTCTGTTGACTGAATGTAACTGCATCCATACAAAATGCTTGAACAATATTGGTTAAATTCCTTTTTTTTATTTCGCTGTTGAAGATTTCAATCATGCCTGATGATGGATCACATCCAATAATCTTTATTTGATTGTTAATTTTATTTAAGAACCAAAAACAATCAATGCCCGATCCACAGCCCACATCAGTTAAAATATGATCACGTTTGAGATCTAATATATCAAATATTATTGTATTTAACCACTGTCCATGAGGCGAAGAAGAGGACTGAAACAATGGTTCTATATGATAATTGGATGCAACATTCGTGAAATGTTGGCGTAAACCATATACATTTTGGTCAGGATCACTAGACAAATTTTTATTGAAGTATTCAAATAAGAATAATTGTAGAATTTTCTTTATGTGCAGTTTTGCTTATATAATCTTTATCTTAATGAAGAAGAAAAAAAAGATAAATTCGATAATATAGTTTAGGAAATCAGTAAAAAGAAAGAGATCGGAGATTGTTTCAAATCTTTTCGATAAATACCTAGTCGTTAAAAGGAGTTTTGTGCTTTACATGTTTCGGCACAGATTACTGTGCAATAAAAATTCGATCAAGATGTGGAAAAATCATGTAACTGATTATCTGGGAGTTTACAATGACTGACGGTAAGACACTTCTCTTCTAGTAGCATATTTATAGATAGATATATGACACTGCGTCATGGATAGTTACTCCTCGTTCTTTGTGCATTAGATAATTGTTGTTCTCATTCTGTTGTTTGCACTATTGCGACGGTAAATGTGTAGTTATCAAAGCTATGAATAAA